AAATCTTTAGTAAAAGGCGAAAGATTTATACGATCTGAAGAAAAACCAGAGTATGAAAGACAGGCGCGTTGCATGAGGACTCCGGCAGCAGACAGATGTTGCTCAACCCTCGGAGACTCCATCATCAATTCCAGCTTCAAAGCAACTACAACCAGATAGAAGGTGCACCACTCATACAAAATGACACATCCAATAGAAAAAGAATATAGAACTTCAAATGACAGGACACATGCTCTGAAATACATCAGAGAAGGCTGCTATTGAGCGGGATGGCCTCATTTGCATGTCTTTGGAGCCGCATAGCGGGAAGCAGTAGGCTTGCTCCCCACCGTCAGGCGCACGGCAACCGAGTTGGGGGGTCAAGGCTGCGGCCCTTTGCTTCTCAAGGATCCCGTTAAGCAGAGTGGAAGGAGGGGACCACGCAGGCCAACACACCAAAGATGGAGCGTGTGGCGATTGTTTCCCACGACGTGCCGCCACACACTTTGCTACCAGGAGCAAATCCTAGAGAACTCAAGCAGGAGCCGCTTCGGTCGGCAGCACCAGCCACTTTCAATTGAGCGCAACGGCATCGTGCCGGCAAGTCTGAATTTTCCAATCTTTCTCTAACTTGGGGGTCAAATTGAGCTAAGCCAACTACAAACCCCAAGCTCTCAAAGTCAAGTCACTCGTTCTATTTTTTGCAACAAATTAGCAAGCCCAGCAATAGCCAGGCATCAAAAAATTCTAGGAAACTCATAGTTGTCCCTCTCCACGGAAATCTTTAGTAAAAGGCGAAAGATTTATACGATCTGAAGAGAAACCAGAGTATGAAAGACAGACGCGTTGCATGAGGACTCCGGCAGCAGACAGATGTTGCTCAACCCTCGGAGACTCCATCATCAATTCCAGCTTCGAAGCAACTACAACCAGATAGAAGGTGCACCACTCATACAAAATGACACATCCAATAGAAAAAGAATATAGAACTTAAAATGACAGGACACATGCTCTGAAATACATCAGGCTCATGTAAATATAGCCAAGGGAAAGGACATGCGACCGCAGAGGATGATGGGAGAAGGCTGCTATTGAGCGGGATGGCCTCATTTGCATGTCTTTGGAGCCGCATAGCGGGAAGCAGTAGGCTTGCTCCCCACCGTCAGGCGCACGGCAACCGAGTTGGGGGGTCAAGGCTGCGGCCCTTTGCTTCTCAAGGATCCCGTTAAGCAGAGTGGAAGGAGGGGACCACGCAGGCCAACACACCAAAGATGGAGCGTGTGGCGATTGTTTCCCACGACGTGCCGCCACACACTTTGCTACCAGGAGCAAATCCTAGAGAACTCAAGCAGGAGCCGCTTCGGTCGGCAGCACCAGCCACTTTCAATTGAGCGCAACGGCATCGTGCCGGCAAGTCTGAATTTTCCAATCTTTCTCTAACTTGGGGGTCAAATTGCGCTAAGCCAACTACAAACCCCAAGCTCTCAAAGTCAAGTCACTCGTTCTATTTTTTGCAACAAATCAGCAAGCCCAGCAATAGCCAGGCATCAAAAAATTCTAGGAAACTCATAGTTGTCCCTCTCCACGGAAATCTTTAGTAAAAGGCGAAAGATTTATACGATCTGAAGAGAAACCAGAGTATGAAAGACAGACGCGTTGCATGAGGACTCCGGCAGCAGACAGATGTTGCTCAACCCTCGGAGACTCCATCATCAATTCCAGCTTCGAAGCAACTACAACCAGATAGAAGGTGCACCACTCATACAAAATGACACATCCAATAGAAAAAGAATATAGAACTTCAAATGACAGGACACATGCTCTGAAATACATCAGGCTCATGTAAATATAGCCAAGGGAAAGGACATGCGACCGCAGAGGATGATGGGAGAAGGCTGCTATTGAGCGGGATGGCCTCATTTGCATGTCTTTGGAGCCGCATAGCGGGAAGCAGTAGGCTTGCTCCCCACCGTCAGGCGCACGGCAACCGAGTTGGGGGGTCAAGGCTGCGGCCCTTTGCTTCTCAAGGATCCCGTTAAGCAGAGTGGAAGGAGGGGACCACGCAGGCCAACACACCAAAGATGGAGCGTGTGGCGATTGTTTCCCACGACGTGCCGCCACACACTTTGCTCACTTTGCTACCAGGAGCAAATACTAGAGATCTCAAGCAGGAGCTGCTTCGGTCGGCAGCACCAGCCACTTTCAATTGAGCGCAACGGCATCGTGCCGGCAAGTCTGAATTTTCCAATCTTTCTCTAACTTGGGGGTCAAATTGCGCTGAGCCAACTACAAACCCCAAGCTCTCAAAGTCAAATCACTCGTTCTATTTTTTGCAACAAATCAGCAAGCCCAGCAATAGCCAGGCATCAAAAAATTCTAGAAACTCATAGTTGTCCCTCTCCACGGAAATCGTTTGTAAAAGGCAAAAGATTTATACGATCTGAAGAGAAAACAGAGTATGGAAGAGAGACGCGTTGCATGAGGACTCCGGCAGCAGACAGATGTTGCTCAACCGTCGGAGACTCCATCATCAATTCCAGCTTCGAAGCAACTACAACCAGATAGAAGGTGCACCACTCATTTTTTTAATTCTTTTATTGAAAAATACGTAACAAAACAACAATAAATAACAAAAACAACACCAAGAACACCTTGGGTTCAGAAAACAAAATAATACACGTGCCAAAGGACACCATAACAACAATACACATCACAAAAACGAAAAATAGACACAGAACGGAGACGGCTTTACAGCCCATCAAACACTGCATTTTTACAGCAAAAGGAATATACCACAAACACATCCCCACAGAAAATGGAACATAAAAAGAACACAATACAGTAAACACCATAACCACCCCACCACCCACAACAAAACCACCCACCACCCATATCTTCCACAAATGACAGACGAAAAAGGCGTCCGATCTTCCAGCTTGACATTCAAAAAACCGACCTGGTGAACGCAGAGAAAAAAAGAATGAAAATCAACCCAACCACTCCCTCCATTTAGTAAAACGCCAGACTGCTTCCGCCTTCACCTCCCCAAATTTCTGTATATCGCACCAACCGTATAAGTAAAGCCTCCCTCGAACCATAGCCAAACACTCCTTCACACCAATCACCTCCTTCCTAAACACCAACACATTCCGCACATCCCACAAACACTCCTTCACACAACAAAACAACAACCACAACAAACGAAACTCATCCCCATCCAACCCACACAACCCATACAACACCATCTCATACGTCACCATTCGCAGGCCAACCAAATTTTCCACAAACTTCGCTAAGCCCGCCCAGACCTGCTTCGCAAACGCACAATCCCAGAACACATGAAACACATGCTCACACCCCCAACACCCCTCCCTCGGACAAACCTCACTATTAACCAAACGCCGTCGCCTCTGAAAAGCCCTAGTCGGCAGGCACCCATGCACCGCTAACCAGGCCACATCCCGCTGTCTACCAACCAACCTCCCATCAGCCACATTCTTCCACATCTTCTCACAATCCACATCCGTCAACCCTCCAAGCAACACCCTCTCCTCCCTCAACCCCAACCCCATCAACACCTTCTTACTATCCAACCACAACTCTCTACCCACAAACTCCAAACCATACTTCCCAACACACTTCTGCACCCTCACATAAAACCAGGGCACCTGAAAACACACAGGCTTCCTCAAGTCCCTCTCATAACCAGCCACCTTCTGCAACACATACCCCCCAGCATACCTCACCATACAACTCACCAAACTCCCACTCATACTTACCTTCACACACATACTCACATACTTCACCATCAAAAACCGCTCAATATCAACCATCCCTTTACCACCATTCACATCCTTCCGCATCACTTTCACCCGACTCAATTTCTCAATCCTAGAGGACCAAAGAAAGGAGAAACACAGTTTTATGATCTTACGCAACACTTTATCAGACGCAGGGAAAACATAATACGTAAAAAGCAACACCGGCACCACAACAGCCTTAATCACCAAAATCTTACCTGCCATAGATAAACTACGCATTGACCAAAATTGCAACTTTTTACGCACCTTCGCTTCAACCTCCACCCACCCCTCCGTCCCCTGCAGCTCATCATCAAACCTAATACCCAACACCCTCATACTTCCCGTACAAACCTGCCACACACACCCCTCCACCCCCCAAAAAACTTACACTCACTCTTGTTCATATTAACTGCAAAACCACTCGCTGAACAAAACAACTCCACAATCAACTTCACCCTCTGTAAACTCGCCAAACTCTTACATACCACAGTCACATCATTCATGTACCCCAAAACACTCAAACACCTCCGTCCACCACCTGGAACCTCCACACCCCTCACCACCTTATCCCTTGCCAACATGCGCAACAAAGGTTCAATCACACACACAAACAACACAGGGGACAGAGGACACCCCTGCCTCACACCCGACCTGACACACACCTCCTCTGTCAAACAACCATTAACCAGCACCCTACTCACCAAACCTTCGTACAAACAACGCACCCACCCCATCATCCCTACCGGCACCCCCATCCTCTCCAAAACAGCAAACAAAAAATCATGCACCACCCTATCATACGCCTTTTCAAAATCAAGAGCTAACAACGCAACATTCCCACCCACCTCCTTACAATGCCACAACACATCTCGCACCCCAATCAAACTCTCCGCAATCGACCTCCCAGGCACCGCACACACTTGCTCCTCACCAACCATGTGCCCAACCACATCTCGAAATCTATTAGCAATCAACTTAGCAACCATTTTATAATCAACATTCAACAATGTTATCGGCCTCCAATTCCGCAAATCACTCCTCTCCCCCTTCTTATATAATAAAGTAATCACCCCATTTCTCATACTATCAGACAATCTCCCCCTCCTCAACACAGCCTCACAAACAGCAAACACACATTCACCCACCACCTCCCAAAACACACAGTAAAATTCTACCGGCAAACCATCACCCCCAGGGGTTTTCCCTTTCTTCAGACCCCTTAACACACTCTCAACCTCCTTCAAACTAACCTCCATACTCAAAAGATCTTTATCCTCCACACTCAACCCATCCCCAATCAAACCCAAAACCTCCGCCTCCAGCCCAACATCCCTCACCTTCTCAGTATACAAACCTGCATAAAACTTACGCACCTCATCCAACACCCCCCCTTTCCCACACACCTCATCCCCACTCACACTCGTCACCTTCACCAACTCCGCTGCCTTACAAAACACTTTCTTAAAGAAAAATTTTGTACATTTCTCATCACATTCTTTGACCACCGACCGCGCCTGCATAACAATCCTCTTACCCTCGCGTTCCAAAAACACCTTCAACCTCTCCTTCGCTTCAATCAATTCCACCCCAACCTCCTCCCCCAAATCCCGCAACTGCTCCAAATATATCATCCGCTTCTGCCACAACTCATATTCCTCACGTCCACGCCGCACCTGCTCTACACCACACCGAACAAAGAAAGACTTGGTCTTCCCCTTCACCCACTCCCACCACTCAACCACACTCTCAAAATCACCCATCCGCTTCTTCCACCTACCAAACACACGCACATACACAGCCCTAACATTCTCATCCTCCAACAAACTAACATTCAACTTCCACACCCCCTTCCCATGCACCTCCCCCGGCCTCACACTCACCTCACACTCCAACCTGCCATGGTTCGAAAAGGACTCCCTACGGACAGAAACATTGGCACAATCCAGACATCGAGAAGCAAAGAAAAAAAATCAATCCTCGAGCGAACAGTGCCCCGATCACTAAAATAGGAAAAACCTCAGTTTTTCCCTACGTCCACCAAGCCAAACGTCTTAATAATATCCAACAACTCTCTGCTTGAACTATCAATTCCACCACCCCCACACCTATCACCTGCATCTAGCACACAATTGAAATCCCCCACCACCACCACCGGATCCCTCCCACCCACAAAATACCAAAGTTTCTCAAACAAGGCTAAACGCTCCCTCCTACAAGTAGATGCATAAACATTGACCACTTTCAAAAGAAAATCCCCACATTTCACCTCCACCAAAAGGCATCTACCCATCTCAACATGAACAACCTTAACAACTTGAAAATGGTGCCCAAAAAATAAAGTAGCAACACCCACACCCTTCTTTGGACCCCCGGCGGCTATTTCAGATTGCATTCCTGCAAACACACAACCTGGCATTTGTTCAAAGCCAACAACCTAAATATAGCCGCACGACGGAAAGAAGATTTAATACTCCTCACATTTAAAGACTGCACCCTAAGCCACATGCAGAAAATAAAGGAGCATCACACCAGACTTTCCACGAGCCTTCACCCTCTTAGTCCCCACCGAACCTTCCACCATCTTCACCCCCTGCAATTCAGAGTCCGCACCCGGCTTGTCTTTCATCTTCACCCTCTTTTGGAACCCCATAACGTCCTCAAAAATAGCAATAGCAAGTCTTTAACCAATTAGAGCTTCAGAGGGCTATTTGCTGTATGAAGACGTTGCACGGTCGAACAGACCGCGGACATCCCATAAAGTTCGGTGAACGCTCGAACGGCCTATGTTCGATTCGAACCGGCTGACTAGGGCTGCAGCTAACGATTATTTCCATAATCGATTAGTTTGCAGATTATTGAGTTCGATTAATCGGATAAAAAAAGGCTCCAGTGATGGACTACTAGTTTCTATTGAGATTGTAGTCCATCACGGGAGCAAGCTTGGCGCGGTGTAAGTAAAAAAAGAGTGTGGTGTGCAATATAGTACATTATACAGCGGCGCAGTGCAGAATACCAGCAGCTATAGAGGAATGTAGCAATAGTACATTATACTATAATGTACTATTGCTGGGATTTGTAGTCCTCTGTAGCTGGCGTTATTCTGCATTGCGCTGTATAATGATTATATGGCGAAATGCAGAATACTAGCAGCTCTAGGAATACAACAAATGCCAGCAATAGTACAACATTATACTATAATGTACTATTGCTGGGATTTGTAGTCCTCTGTAACTGCTGGTATTCTGCATTGCTTTGTATATAATGTATTATTGCTGGGATTTTTAGTCCTCTATAGCTGGTGGTAATACCAGCAGCTATAGAGGAACAACAAATCCCAGCAATAGTACATTATACAGGCTGTTTAATGTATTATTGCTGGGATTTGTTGTTCCTCTATAGCTGCTGGTGTTCTACAGTGTGCCGCTTTTTTTTTTAAACAGGAAACATTAAAACAGGTCCCCCTTACCTGTTTCTGAACACTTGCAAGTCGCTGCAGCGGCGGCCGCGTGCTCTGCGGGCGTGCGTCCGGCTTGTGCGGTGGTTGGGTACACGGCGTGTGCACGGTGGGTGCGGCGTGCATAGCGTAACTGGTGTATGGAGCCACGAACAGGCGGGCGTGAGCGGGAAATTTACATTGTAGCCGACTAATCGACGATGGAAAACGCTGACGTTTTCCATCGTCAATTTTAATCGACTTCATCTCATAATTGTTGCAGCTCTACAGAATACCAATGTATAATACAGCAGCACACTGCTGAACACCAGCAGCTATAGAGGAACAACAAATCCCAGCAATAATACATTATACAGGCTGTTTAATGTATTATTGCAGGGATTTGGTGTTCCTCTATAGCTGCTAATGTTCTGCAGTGTGCCGCTTAAAAAAAAAACACACACAGGAAACATTACAAAGCTCCCGGCCGATCTCGACTTACCTTGAATGACGGTGTTGTCGTCGGGAAGCTCACCGTGAGGAGAGGGCCAGACGCATGTCCGCAGTGTGTGTGGTGGGCGTGGCGTAAGCGGGTTTACCGGTGTAGGCGCGGCGCGAGCGGCTTAACTGACATGGGCGTGGCGTAAGCAGCGTGCAGCGGCGAGCGGGAAATTTGAATTTTAGCCGACGAATCGACGATGGAAAACGTTGACAACGTTTTCCATCGTCGATTTTAATCGACTTCATCGAATAATTGTTGCAGCTCTACGGCGGACCATCCCTATTTGTAAGCCACTTTGTGGTTTCTTAGAACTTTAGTGATAAGATGAAGTTCTTTTCGAGCCCTCACAGTAGCTTGAGACAGGTCACTGTATAATGTAATGGTAGGGTTCCGGTAATGAGGAAGTGTTGAAACTAAGAGTCATCAACCTTTCTTTGCTATGGAAGTAATGGATGCACGCAATGATATATCTAGGAAGACTTTCAGGCAGATGTGAGGGTTTTCGCCAGCGATGAGCTCTGTCGACAGTGATCTCAAGTTCCTACGAAGTAGGTAGTAGAGAGCTTATTAAGTTTTTTATATAATCTCGAAGGTCACCAGAAAAAACTGATTCAGGTATCCCCCTGAATCTCATGTTATTTGTGCGAGAACTGTCTTCTAACTCAGCTATTATTATGTTCAAACTGTGTAGTTCTTCCATCGTCTTTTTGTGGGTGTCCACCATATCATTATGGGCTTCTGCATAACTGCACATTTGGTTTCTATGGTATCAATCCTGTCCCCTATGAGGTGTAAATCACTCGTAAAATGTTGTATCAGGGAGGTCATATCTTTACGAAGTGTGTTTTATAGAGAAATTACCATTTCCTTTAGAGTGGTATCCAGTATAGGTTTGTCTGATGTTGGAAAGTCACTTATGGAATCTGTCATATCCTCAGAATCGTCCACAGGGGGGGTCTCCTTATTACCACGTGGAATAAGAGCAGCTCTTTTGGATTTAGGCTTCAAAGGAGTCCCTTGTGCTCCCGTTACCAATCATTATCGGTTTGGAAGGTGTTGGCGTTTGAGGGGACCCACCTTGCTCTCTGCCTGAGCCATTGGCCTGAAAATAATTTGCACTGTCCATCCTTATGTTTGCGCTTCCTCATGATGACCGCTCGATGCTTGGAGGTACGCAGTCCTTCTCTATGGGAGTACCCGCCCTGCACGTCTGTACGCCAAGAGAATGGATCCTGTCTGCGTCCGAGCCAGGAAATTCCACACCCCTGCCGCCCCGAGGCCGGGCCTTGTGGGAAATCAGACCCTGGCTGCATGCATGGTCGCACCAGGGCTGCCAGGCTCCACGGCGGCGTGTGGCTGTCCTTTGCTGTGCCTGTATCTGCGGGCTCCAGAAAGGAGCAGGTGATGTGCAGCTAGATAAGCATTGTCAAAGACAGCTCCCCGAGGTCCCCAGCAAGCGCAGAACCTCAGGTACCCAAACTTGTTTAAAAATTGTAAGGGCCACTATAGGCCTTTAGTATCGGGGAATTTTCACAAGTATTTGTGAAAATGCCCTGTATCGGGACATCCCTAGTAAAGGCTGTATAAAACGTGAATATATATATATATATATCTTGCTTATGGCACCATTAACAAGGAATGGCACCGCAAGGGGCAACAATGCTTTTTTTCACAGCTTCACATGCCACACTAGTGTAAATGTGACCTTTGTGTTCCCCCTTACCAATGTTGTGCAAACAGAGCCTAGCAGAAGTGAACAAATGCCAGGGATCCTGCTACAAGTGGCATTGCTGAGCCACTGAGGTCGGGGAGAGAGTCACATATGCCTTCATACCCAAAGGTATTGGGTTCATCTGATTGGAGAATACAGCAGCAGGAAAAAGTAAAAATGTGCTCCTTACTGTCCCTGTTCTAAAGTGAACCTGTCCCTTTGAAGCAGAACTGGAGGCAGCTATATAAAAACACTTAAAGTGGATCTTCAGAAAAACTTGTATTTAATATATTTCTTGGCATAATGGTTGCCGTGCCAAAACATTACATATACTTTTTTTTCTTACGCCTAAGACACTTAACGTGTATCTAAACACCCCCAAAATGTTAATATATTGCAGTTTACTAGTTCTTACATGTGGTGGCTGCTTTGGTTTTCTTTTTCCTTTTAGTTTCACCGGGTGATCACACTTCCTGTCATAGGGTGGCTCCACTCTACGGAGAAGCAATGGAGCCATCCCTGGACGGCAGCATCGTCGACCTGTGGGGAGGGTGGTGGTAGATGCAATAGCACAGGGCTCAAAATTTAAGGCCCACCTAACCCCTACCCTGCCCCGGCCTTAACTCCGCCAGGCCAGTGGTGTGAACCAAAGTACAGAGATCAGTAACAACACAGAGTGCAGAGTTCAGTGGTGTGACGCAGAGTACAGAGGTCAACAGGACCGAGGTCAGTAATGTAATGCAGAAGTCGGTGGTGTAAGGCAGAAAGAACAGGGACTTCCAGTGCACATAGCTGCCCTCTTCCTCTCCTGGTGCTGGGGGGTACAGAGTCCCGCGTTACAAAATCTTCCAGCCGACCAATAGCACTTGTAGTCTTCCTCCCAGCCTATGAAAGCTGAGGTGGGCGGAGGAAGCTGCAGATGGCCGAAGTGGAGGGAAGACAGCCAAACTGATTCTCCGCTGCCGAGAAGAATCAGTTCGGCTGTCTTCCCTCCACTTCGGCCAGAGAAGAGAGAAGCAAGCAAGCAAGCCGCCCCCCCACTGATGAATTTCCATTCGCCCCCACGCAATTTTCACTTGTCAATTGCGAGGGGCTGAGTTGAAATTTTGAGCAGGCTATCAATTACATTGCCTGTTCGCGGCTCCGCACACGCCGCACCCACACCGGTTAAGCTGCACACGCTGAGGACATGCCTCTGCTCCTCTCCTCCCTGTGAGCATCCCGACTCGCCCCTGACAATCAAGGGCCCACCATCATTCAAAGTCACTCAGCAACTAAATTCTAAACCTTTTTAATGTTTCCTGTTTAAAAAAAAAAAGAAGAAGTGGTACACTGCAGAATACCACCTGCTATAGAGGAACAACAAATCCCAGCAATAATACATCAAACAGCCTGTATAATTGCTGGGATTTGTTGTTCCTCTATAGCTGGTGGTATTCTGCAGTGTGCAGCTGTATAATACAGCAGCACAATACCAACGACTAGATAGATACAATGCAGAATACCAATGACTAGATAGATACGATGCAGAATACCATACACAATGCAGAATACCATTGTATTATACAGCGGCACACTGCAGAACACCAGCAGCTATAGAGGAACAACAAATCCCAGCAATATATTAAACAGCCTATATAATGTATTATTGCTGGGATTTGTTGTTCCTCTATAACTGGTCGGTGGTATTGCGCCATATAATCATTATACAGCGCAATGCAGAATACCAGCAGCTATAGATGACAACAAATCCCAGCAATAATAAATGATACGGCGCAATGGAGAATAACACCAGCTATAGAGGAATACATCAGATCCCATCAATAATACATTATATACAGCGCAATGCAGAATACCAGCAGCTACAGAGGACTACAAATCCCAGCAATAGTCCACTATAGTATAATGTACTATTGCTGGCATTTGTTGTATTCCTCTAAAGCTGCTGTTATTCTGCATTGCGCCGTATAATCATTATACAGCACACTGTACCACCAGCTATAGAGGACTACAAATCCCAGCAATACAAAATTATACAGCGCAATGCAGAATACCACCAGCTACAGAGGACTACAAATCCCAGCAATAATACATTACATTATAATCTATCGCTGGGATTTGTTGTAATCCTCTAAAGCTGCTTGTATTCTGTAATGCGCCGCTGTATAATGTACTATATTGCACACCAGGCTCCAAGCTTGCTCCTGTGATGGACTACAATCTCAATACAAACTAGTAGTCTATCACTGGAGCCTTTTTTTTAATTGCCTTTTAAAAATTATTATCCAATGAATCAAACTTAATGATTGGCTAACTACCGTATATACTCGAGTATAAGCCGAGATTTTCAGCCCATTTTTTTGGGTGAAAAGTGCCCCCCTCGGCTTATACTCGAGTCAGCGCCAGCGCATCTTCTTACTTACCTCGCCGAGCGTCGCGTCACTGCTGCTCCGGTGTGCGGCGCTCCGAGCGGGGTCATCTGGCAGTCTCCGGGTCCTAATTTAGGTGGCCGGAGACTGCCAGATGACCCCGATCGGCTTATATTCGGGTCAATACTTTTTCCCAGTTTTTTTGGTCAAATTAGGTACCTCGGCTTATATTCGGGACGGCTTATACTCGAGTATATACGGTAATCGGTTTTGAAAAGAATTGTTAGCTGCAGCCCTGGTTGCATAGCAGAAAAATAATGATGTTTTCTTGCTGCCTGACATAGAGCATCATGGACTAGTAATTTATCAAAGTAAGCAGCTATAGAACATCTAGGTTCCAGGTGCAAAATAGGTCGAAACAGCTTAAACAGTAGCAAGGCTGCAGATAAAAACAAACAGATCCCTGTCCGTTTTATTCAGCCTACGTTTCCTTACAGCTTCATTCAGCAAAAAACATATAAACTGTAGAAAATATACTATAGTATAATTTATAACACAATGGAGGGGAATTTATCAAACCTGGAGCAGACAAAATCTGGAGCAGCTGTGCATGGCAACCAATCAGCATCTCTCTTTCATTTTTAAATCTTAACTGAACAAAGCTTTAGAGAGAAGCTGATTGGTTGCCATGCACAGCTGCTCCAGTTTTGATAGATCCCCCCCAATGACATTAGTTGGAGTTCCCCTTTCTTCCTTTCCAGTGCAGAGACGTTAATCCTGCTGCATGTTGGTCCCGGATCCATCCGCCTCTGTGATTCCGATGCGTCGGCATGGAACTAGTTTAAGGCTTTTACCGGAGTCCAAAGCCCACTGAAGTCTCTCTCAGCTGGCAGCAGACTTCTTTTTTGCTGCATCCCTTGAAGGCGCTGTCTTTTTCTGTGACATCCTCTTCCCAGCCTTGGACATCATGAGCGTGTCTCTCTTTTCTATATTCCGTAACTGCTTCTTGCGGGCTCGCTTCAGTTTCGCCGGGTTACTTATCTGAGTGGTTAGGAGGAGAAAACAAAAGCGAGTTATTAGATTAGATGGAGCTGAGAATAGCAAATAAAGATTTCCTATACTCAGAGCCATCTAGTGGCCATAATGTGGTATTACAAGGTGGCATTTGAAACTACATCCAACTTATAAAGAAAATATACCATAGAAACATTCACACAAAATAACCTTTTAGAGATTCGCAGGGCTAATGACTCTGCAAATTGTTTACAAAAAGACCCCAAAGTGTATCTAAAGCCAAGAACAAAAGTGTAATACAGCTTACAAGTCCTTAAATGTGCTCCTAGTTAACCTTCTATTTTCAGGTTTTTCTTTCTTTCGATCCTGCCAGTAACACACTTTCAGTACCAGGGTGACATCACTCATTGTACTGCATATTTAAGGAAGAGCGGTGTTGTCACCCTAGGACGCAAAGTGTGTCAAGACTAAAGAACTCCCCCCTCTACTTATCTGCATTCAAATGAGAGTGATGTTCTGTTCATGTTGTCCTAGATTGTTCACTTCTCCTGCCTTCTCCAAACTTTTCAACCTGTGAATAGCCCTGTTTAGAAATAAAGGGCGCCAAACCAAAAGGTGAAATAGCCCTAACAATTCGATGGAACAAACATCTAACACGTGGCGGGGACACCACTCCCCCTTCACCAGGGCTACAAGCCAAACACATAGCATAATGAACAAAAGACCAATAATGAAATTAAAAACTTGTATTCATTATACTATGTTTGTCTTGTATGCCTGTTGAAGGGAGAGTGTTGTTGCCCCCAAAACCATGTTGGCTGTTTTTCGTGCTTTTGGACTCTTCCACCTTTTATTTATGAACATTGAGTGCAAAACCATCAGCTGTCAATGACAGCGCAATCTCAGAACCATGCACAGCTACGTGCTCCTAGTTCTAAAATGCAATGTAGGGTAAAGTTTTCCCAACACAAGAAGCTGTCCTTCTGAATGTTCATCTAAATGTTGTAGGTATAAAAGGGTTAAAAAGCTATTCCAGCCCATTCAATCCAATCACTGCTCTGCTCACTATCCAGCACTGACTGCTGTAGTCATGCAAAATATAACATGACTCCATAGCAGGACTTTGCTGAATTAATGGAGACATCAGTTTTAAACAATTCTCGTTTTCAACCCGCCATAGGCATTGATGTTGGGCACAGTCACAACCTGGCAGTGACCAATGATTCTGGGAGTCTGGATGAACGAACAACCCTCCCAACTTCAGAAAATGAGACAATTGTTATATGTGACATCGGAGCAGTTAGGCCACTGAAAGCTACAGAGAAGCTCTTCTGTAAGGTGGATCCTCCCGAAGAATTGGTTGTTGCCTATTTCTGCCCTCATCTATACATGGACCCCTCCTAACTTACAGTACAGCTTACACAGAGGTCCATTAATAAAAACTTTGCATAGCTTATTCATCCAGCGAAACTGCAAGTAAATTCCTTACGTGCAAGTTAACAATCTGTGAGAATGGGGTAAAAGAGAATGTTCCTAGAATCATTTATTTTGACATTTCTTCAATAGCTTCATTTATACAGAACAGAGTAAGCGGCGACAATACCGCATTATGGTCACTAGATTGTGCTGATGGTCATACTAACATGTATTTATTTCCTCTGATCCTCAGCGCCATCTAGTGGCCAGAATGCAGTATTTTCCCATTCACACTGTTCTGTTTGAAGTAACCCATTCGTGACGGGAGATGTACACTGTACGTCCCGTCACAAAGTGCCCAAATGACTGGCCATGTGCACTGTACATGACCGGTTATTCGCTGCTCTACAATGCTGGTAACCGCTGAGAATCAGCAGTTACCATCCATTAATGAAAGAGTTAACCTTTTTCAAGAATCGGGTGTCTGAGAGTGAGAGCAGAGCCGCATTTGCAGCTCTTGCCGTCACTCTGATAGCTGCTATAGATCGGAAAATCCCGATGTATACCGGCTTTTTTTTAACTTTCAGCAATAGAAACATAACGGGGGGAATTTATGAAAGTAATTGCACCTCTTTTCTTTGCCTTTTCTGGTGCAAATCGTCCTTAGTAGCCGTGATCACCCCGTGCGCACGTTTTTAACCTTGCCTGCGCTTGTTTTCAAATGTTTAAATGTGCGCTTGTTTTGCGGTCTGAGTAAACGTGCAGAATACCTCTGAAAACCCTCGCAAACTAAGAAGTCCTTTTGATCACTTCTAATTATTGCGCAAAGTAAGCCTGCCCGATTGTCACTGCCCCTCCCTGCCATCTTTCTGCACCCGCCCGCTGCAATCTCTCACTGTTGTTCTTCAGATTTGGGGCCGGTCACCGCCCACCGGCTCTCTCCCCGCCATGGTCACCCGCTCTTCTGGGGCGCCCTGTACCACAGCAAATTAGAGCAGGTTGTCACTGGAGTTCAAGCACGGCGCTGCGCTCGAACTCCTGTATTTATTGATTTGCGCTCGATTCGCAATCAATTGGGGGACATACAACAGTTTTAAGAAGTATTCTACAAACGGCATTTATGAAGACATCTTAGGATGGGATAATAAATTTGGTGCAAATAAAGCCAAATATTTTACAGAGTAAAAATAGGCGCAAGTGCAACGATAAATTCCCCCCAATGTATCTATTCCTGAAAGAATGTTTTAATTTTCTGATCATTGATGGAACGATCAAAAAACCTATAGGCTGGATTCACACCTGAGCGTATTTTTTCAGCTCGTTTTTCTGTTCAGTGAAACGCGCGTTTCACTGGCGGTATGATTTTTTTCCCCCCCTTTATTTTACATTTTTTTTTTCACTTTCAAACTTCCCGCCGGCTCCACCCCCCTGCGATGCGGCCGCTCGCAAGGGACGGAACCCGGAATTCAGCAGCCGCCGCAGGACACAGCGGGGATCGCGGACAAGGTAAGACCTGTACGCTGTATTCCCGAGTGTGGCTCGGGGGTTACCGCTGGGGTTTCTCAGCTGCCAATGGGATGGGCGGGATCCCTTGTGTGTTTCTGTACCTTTAAGGAGGTGGGGCGTCCTCCTGACAAACCTGCACCCAATTTGATATCTTCTGCCCCCATGTGCTCCAAGATGGAGACTCTCATAGTTTAGAGTTAGGACCGCACTATAAGAGGTGCCTTGGCGCGGCAGTGCGGCTTACACATCCTTTGCAGAAGACGTGTATCCAAACCTCTGTCATTGTCCTTAGTGGTGAGACAAGTTGTTTTACATGCTGGTTTGTGAGTGTGCCATGATGCCTTTCTACTGTTTTACAGCGCGTAGGAACGTGCTGTAAAACGCCCAGGTGTGAACCAGGCCTTAGTGACAGCTGATCCTGAAATGCTGCAGGATCAGTGTCACTAAGGTTATTATTGGCTGTTCGTAAGTTTGAAGCAGCTTAATAATAAGCAGAAATTAATTGATCCATTTATCAAGCAGTAATAGTGAGATTAATTCACAATGACTGCTTGATAGAATTCAATAAATAAAAATGTAAAGTTTAAAAAAAAAAAAAAACAGTGAAAAGTGTAAAATAAATAAATGTAACAAAAAAAAAAAAATGATATATTTAAATATTTTTATTCTATCATTAAAAAATATTTATCATATAAAAATTAACCCCTCCTAATGAAAATCTGCTGCTGAGCTATCACATGTGACTGTTCTTGTTATCTACCAGAGTATCCAGTAGATGTGGCTTTCATTCACAAAGAAAAAAATTGAACAAAAGAACAAAAAAAACTTACCACTTGCACAATTTCAGCTTTGCGCTCATTTTCCAGACGGCGTCTCAAATTATCCTCTCGACGCTCTCTCTTTTCCTGCACACACAAAAGAAGTTGTCAGCCACCTAAAAACACTAATATTAAAACTGAACTCCAGACAAACAGCTAAATAGACGGGTGAAATATACACTCATGGGCCAGTTTATTATTAGGTACACCTGTTCAATTGCTTCGTAATACAAATTGCTAATCAGCCAATCACATGGCAGGAACTCAATGCATTTAGGCATCTAGACATGGTGAGGACGACTTGCTGAAGTTCAAACCGAGCATCGGAATGGGGAAGAAAGGGGACTTAAGGAGAACGATGAGGCGAGTGATTTTCACTCATCCTCATAGTTGGAGCCGACGTGGGACAATTAAACTGTCACAGGTCGGCTCAATAGATCGGGAACGCAGTCACTGCTCCCTGCAGGGATTCCAACCCCCCCACCGCACTGACTGGCAGAACGGACTGGGGTGAAAGGCATAGCCAGCTGTCACTCAGACAACTGGGTAGATCTAGACAGCGTTGTCAGGACACGTCCTAGCTGCGGCTAGCTCAGTATACTGCAAGCTGTAGCTCGCTTTGGGTTTGGGTCACGGAAGGACGCTAGTATATGTCCTCCCGTGACCCTTAAGAGAACTATGGGGAAAAACATTTACCGTATAGTTCTCTTTTAAGTGACTTTGAACGTGGTATGGTTGTTGGTGCCAGACGGGCTGCTCTGAGTATTTAACAAAACTGCTGATCTACTGGGATTTTCACGCACAACCATCGCTCGGGTTTACAGAGAATGGTCCGAAAAAGAGAAAATATCCAGTGAGCGGCAGTTGTGTGGACGGAAATTCCTTGTTGATGTCAGAGGAGAATGCGCAGACTGGTTCAAGATGATAGAAAGGCAAGAGTAACTCAAATAACCACCCGTTCATCCGAGGTATGCAGAATACCATCTCTGAACGCACAACACGTCCAACCTTGAAGCAGATGGGCTACAGCCACAGAAGACCACACCGGGTGCCACTCCTGTCTGCCAAGAATAGGAAACGGAGGCTACAATTCGCACCACCAAAATTGGACAATAGAAGATTGGAAAAACGTTGCCTGGTCTGATGAGTCAATTTCAGCTGCGACATTCAGATGGTCGGGTCAGAATTTGGAGTAAACAACAAGAAAGCATGGCTCCATCCTGCCTTGTATCAATGGTTCAGGCTGGTGGTGGTGTAATGGTGCGGGGGATATTTTCTTGGCACTTTGGGCCCGTGATGCTATCATGTCATGATGGACCACAATCTCTGAGGAAGGTTTGCAACACCTTGTTGAATCTATGGCACAAAGAACTAAGGTAGTTCTAAAGGCAAAGTGGGCACCAACCCGGTACTAGCAAGGTGTGCCTAATAAAGTGGCCGGTGAGTGTATATATTTTTAATATAAGGGAGCCGTTTTGTCTGCCAAAAAAGAAAAAGAAGTATTTCTATCCATCAAGTCCTGAGATTTACACAGCACAGCCCTGTCTAGCAGGGGAGACAGGCTGCAATTTCACTTACAGGTACCCTTCCGAACCCCACCTTGTGACTGGACAGTGAAAGAAGAAGCAGCAGCACACAGATGAGCTCCTCTCTGCCACTCTGGTGTCGCCTCCTATGACCATGACTCCATGCATTGCAGCACATGATTGGCTCCTCATGCTACTCCTCATGTAAGCTCTGCTGAACAGACTGTACACAGACTTCTATAGGTTGATACCAAGTAAACTATACAGTATATTTCATCTGAATTCATGAAGAAAAGTTAAATACTACTTTAGGAAGGAATGAGCCGACTCCAGGTAAGCCTAATCTCTGTCTGTGCATCGCTAAATATGTTCCCAGTAATAGGAAACTCAGATGGTTTAGAATTAGGGACCACATTTATTAGCGGTACCTGAACATGCCAGTGTGGCTTCCACATGTATGCAACTCTTTTTTTTTTTTTACTTGAGTAGTTAACCACCTCCTGTCCATGGCCGCTCCTGAACGGCCGGACGGGAGTCTTGTAGGAGCAGGAGGGCGTCTTATGACGTCCTGGCCCTGCCCTCTCATGCGCGGCGCCCAGCGCTCACGAGTGGGGAACTGTTAGCAATGTAAACAGCCAGCGATGGTCCCGTGATCCGCTGTGCCCGGTGCGGCTAGGACCGACACGGCGACTCTGTCAGTGGAGATCAAAGGGAGGTTAGTACATGATCTCTCTTTGAACTCTTCTGGGTCCCCGAATGCAGGAAGTGATGTATATTACATCACTTCCTGCATTCAGTGTCACTCTCCGGTACAGATGCCGGCGAGAAGCTGGGGAACATTGGCCTCCAAACTGCTTTTCTTAATTGGGATAAACTTTTCACCATTTTCTTTTCCTGGCGCCCTTTCATTTTTATATCCCAGGACGAGTGCAGTGGGCGATCTTTTACCATGTCGGAGAACCTGGTTAACAATGGAATACATAAAAAACAAAAACTGTCATTAAGAATAGAATTGCTTCAGGTTAAGCTGTGTGACTCTGTCCACCCCTATGTCCCAGCTCTGCAATACTATAGGGTTCAATCCTATGACAAGACAATGCTGCCTCTAGCTACAGGAAGATCACTCCTTTATTAATCACTTGAAGTCCGCGATGTTAAACCCCCTTCCCGCCCAGGCCATTTTTCAGTATTCAGCGCTGCGGTACTTTGACTGACATTTACTCCGTCATGCAACGCTGTACTGAAATTCATTTTATACCATTTTTGGGGGAAACATAGAGCTTTCTTTTGGTGGTATTTAACCCCTTCATGACTGAAGCCTTTTGTTTCCACTTTTTGCACCGTTATATTTCAAATTTTAGGCCTGAAAATGACTTAAAACCCCCAAACATTAAATATTTTCTGAAAGCCAAGACCCTATAGAATAAAATGGTGGCAGCTGCAAATTTTTATGTCGCACGATATTAGCGCAACTCCTTATCAAACCCCAAAATTTAGTGTAAAATGTACTTAAATGCCCCAAAACACAATAAAATACAATTTTTTTAAAAATAAAATATAAAAGATGAGGTTACAACGAGCAAATAGATACCCAACATGCCCAGGTTCAAAAATGTGTGCGTCTGTGAAATGGCTACAAACTTCAGTACCCCAAAAAGTTCATAGACGACGCTTTAAAAGCCCCCACAGGTCATCAATTTAGAGATACACAAAAATACTGGCCCTAGAACTATTGCTCTCATTCCGGCGTGCGCGGTGATACCAAACAGGTGTAGGGTGTTCGTCGTTTTCATACGTAGGCGCACCCGACGCGTGCTTACGTGGCGACGCGCGTGCTCGCGGGGGACTTTCATTATTTTTAGATTTTTTTAATTTAATTTCAAAATGTTTTATTTGTTTTACTTTACTTTGATTGCCATCACATAGGGGGCTTACAAGCCCCCCCCCCCCCATGTGATAGCAGATGGTGGTGGCAGGTACTCTTTAAGGTGATGCCAGGGGTCCAATAGACCCCCAGTGTCACCTGTACACTCCAAATAAGCTATTGAAGTGATCTGCTTCATCAGCTTCTTCTCTCTGGCTATAGCAACCAGATGACTGACAGGGGAATGCGGAAGTGACGTAATACACATCACTTCTGCATTGACAGTACGGAGGGAGGTCAGCGAGGAGGAAGATGCTGAGCTCCCTCCCATCTTACATCCTGACACACTCCCGAGCCGATCCTGAGCCGCAGATGGGCTAGCGGATCCCAGGATTAAAGGTGAGGGGTCAGGAGGGGGCGGCACTCCAGGCAGTGGCGGCACTCGACAACATACAACCGATCGGTGGCTATAGAGCCGCCGATGGGTTGTATATCAAATAGCCGGTAACGTCTGTAAAGAACGGGCGGGTTTTTTCTGCCTAGGGGCACACGCGAGCAGGAAAAGAAAGCCGTCTAATTAGGGCAACCCGCCCACAGGACTTTGCCGTCCATCCTTTCACAACAGGCGGACGGCAAGCGGTTACAATCCCGATGGAACCAAGAGAACAGATCTGCCACCCATGGGCACATGACTCCATGCTGTGCAATCATCATGGATTAGTATGGCTGCATCATCTAAAATCTCAGGAGATGCCAGAAAATCAGATTAAAGGGAAATTCCACCCAGAAATGCAGTCTTCTTCATAAAAGGGCATTTTTTTTATTGAAGACAGTAAAGCATTGCAACCGTAATCAGTGGATAGTGGGTGCAATGCTCTGGCTCTTGCAGACTCTCCCTCCCACACATGCCCATACCTCGGACATTCAGTATCATGGACAGGATGAAGAATGAATGGGCTACAAGTGTAGTGACACCACTGCGCTTGTATTCCATGGAGAACTCTGCTGTGGTGGCTGATGGGGTGCATGGGACAGGATGACAACATAGGAGCACAACAGAAAGACAAGGCAGAGCGGTGTCACCCCAAAACAGGAAGTGCCTGAACAAGCACCATCATGGCAGGATCACAGGGTATTCATTTATTTAAATCTGTTCACCTCTTCTTGTTTTCTTTCCACACACGTCCAGATTTTGGTTTCCCCCGGGGTATATTCTTCGTCATAGCCACTGACGTCTCACTCTTCATTTTAAGGCTGACCCTCTTCTCCTTGTTCTGGGCTGTCTGGCCCTTTGCCGGCCTCTCCTCTTTAGCACTCGCAGTAATGTTTGTGTGCAGAGATGACACCTTCCCATCTGTTGTCTTGTCATCGCCCTCCTCCATCTTCTCCACTACTAGTTTCGCATTCAGCTCTTCCTCAGTCTTCTCTACATTACTTATCTTTCCCTCCCCTCCCCCCTGAGACTCTTCCACCATTTTTGCCCCGCTGTGTCCCTCTACTTCATCAGCCTCTTGAGTTCCCGTCCTCCTACTGCCTAAAGGAGTATCTGTAACGCTACACTCTTCCCCCCGGGTCCTCTTCATGGCAGAAAAGTCTTTTTCGCTTACTTTTGTCCCTCTGCGCTTTCCATAAACTACTGCAGCTACACGTGGTTTACGTAGACACGCGGTAGCGGCTAGTTCCTGTCCTGCAGATTGTCCTGTGATGTCACAGGAAACATGTGACCAGAAAGCAGGAAATAGTGGGCGGGGAACTCTAATGAATAGGAGCCGCTATACAGTGAGCGAGAAGCTGATCATACGTTTTTCTCTGTAGGTCTCCCTCTCTTGCCTCTCACGCCCTCTGTCCATCTTCTTTTACATTATATTCTCGTTGTATACCTCTCCCTCTCTGCAACCGTAGATACGCACCTCCAGCGGCGCAAGATGATGACGCACTGACACGGCGAACGTCTTAGAGCGTCGTCCCCTAGGAAACGGTGTTCGCTAGCTTGAAGCGCCACATTGGTACACCCGGAAGTCGCATTATTACGTTTGTTAACTTGTGTCCCCAGGACTAGAATAGATGAGTGGGCATGGAGCAGGCTCATAGTAAAACCGTGATTTGACGTGAGCTTTGACTTGTGAAGGGAATTAGAGAGAAAGATTAGAAGCATTTTAGTATATATGTATTTATTTTCCTTTTCTTCACTGTTGTTACATGTTATGATGGGTTCTCAGCAGAAAACCTACTTTCCAGCCCAGCAAATCCAGTGTTATCCTTCTGTGATCCACCGAGGTGCTGGCACAGCAGTGGCGTCACAAGAGGGGTGCGGCCCGCACCAGGTGACACCAAAATGACCAACAGTGAAAACTCTGTCACACAGTCATGGACCAGGAGCCCAACAATTGCATGAGATATGAGAGGAACCGGCGGCATACCTTATCCCTCCTCTCTTTGCCGACAGCTATCGTCACGATGGCCACCGGCAGGTTAGCATGTGACGTCATTTCCTTTCACAATGTATGCATTGTATTAGGCATTTAATTAGTTTCATGGCTTTAATGTGATTTGTGAAACTCCAATATAATAAAATAACACCATTTTTTTTTCTTTTAGTTTATTTAACTTTTTTTTTTTTTTACTTCATTGCTGGGAGCAATAGCCAGCCTGCTATTGGATATTTCAAATTGCAGTAGCCAATAACAGGCTGGCTATTGCACCCACCCACTGCCTGCTGTCAAGCAACAGAGGAGGGACCTGAAAGAGAAAGTTCTCCATCAGGTCCTCCTCTGCTGATTGACAGCAGGCAGGTGCAATAGCCAGCCTGCTATTGCATTTTAACATATCCAATAGCCGGCTGTGTATGGCTCCTAGCCTGTAGATGGAGTGGAGACACGGGGGAGCAGAGGAGGAACGGGGTGGGCAGTGGAGGACCGGGGCAGCAGCAGAGGTCCTGGGGGGTCAGCGGGGAATGCAGTCACAGCGGTCCCTACTCCCCACTAGTGCCGGTTGCAGTGGTCTGTGCCCCCGCTGCCTCTGCTTGTACAGGCGGGAGGAGCAGCAGGGATTGAAAGGGACACAGATTGCTGCAGCCTGCACCAGCAGGGAGGAGAACGGTGACAATTAATCAAAAATTAACGAATCGATGATGAGAGTCGTTACCAACTATTCTCGTTATCGATTAGTTGTTTTACCGCTCATCAATGTAGTGTTATTAGTGATAAATGGCCCTAGAACTATTGCTTTCACTGTGACGTTCACGATGATATGTAACATGTGTGGTGTAATGGGTGCAATCGTCGTTTTTGCATGCATGCGCACTCAACGCATGTTTGCATGCGTTTATGTATGGGTGGGGACTTAAAAAAAAAAATTGTTTATTAATTCTTTTTTATGTGTGACGGTTAAAGAAGAACTCTGGTCAGAAATCATCTTAACTCTTGCAGTGGGGTTACCCCATGCACTGCAAGGGTTAAGTGCTCATTTTCATCTAGAGATTAAAAAAGTTATATCTACCTGAAAACCTTGCAGCCGGCATGGTGTTAGAATGGTCTCCGGAGCCTTTCTCCCCCCTTTGCTCCAGCAGTCTAAGGTCCTGTGAGTTATCATGTCCTACACAGTGTATTGGACGGGAGGACGCTGAAGGACATTCCATTGCTGGAGAAGAGGGGGAGATGGGCTGCAGCACCGATCTAGCAGCCAGACGAGTGTGAGGTTCGGGTGAGTATATCTTTTTTTATTTTACACCCAAGGCAAAAACAAGCTATGCATACCGCAGTGCAGTACTACTGATACACTCCCCACCACCTTCACTGTCCCAAAATACTCTAATACTCTCCCACTCTTCATATATTTTCCCCATCATACCATCCACACTTCTCTCCTGCACATACAGTAACTCCTCTTATCATACTCTGCACTCCTCTCCTGCACATACAGTAACTCCTCCTATCATACTCCCTGCACTCCTCTCCTGCACATACCATAACTCCCCCTATCGTACTCTCTGCACTCCTCTCCTGCACATACCGTAACTCCCCCTATCGTACTCTCTGCCCTCCTCTCCTGCACATACCGTAACTCCCCCTATCGTACTCTCTGCCCTCCTCTCCTGCACATACCGTAACTCCCCCTATCGTACTCTCTGCCCTCCTCTCCTGCACATACCGTAACTCCCCCTATCGTACTCTCTGCCCTCCTCTCCTGCACATACCGTAACTCCCCCTATCGTACTCTCTGCCCTCCTCTCCTGCACATACCGTAACTCCCCCTATCGTACTCTCTGCCCTCCTCTCCTGCACATACCGTAACTCCCCCTATCGTACTCTCTGCCCTCCTCTCCTGCACATACCGTAACTCCCCCTATCGTACTCTCTGCCCTCCTCTCCTGCACATACCGTAACTCCCCCTATCGTACTCTCTGCCCTCCTCTCCTGCACATACCGTAACTCCCCCTATCGTACTCTCTGCCCTCCTCTCCTGCACATACCGTAACTCCCCCTATCGTACTCTCTGCCCTCCTCTCCTGCACATACCGTAACTCCCCCTATCGTACTCTCTGCCCTCCTCTCCTGCACATACCGTAACTCCCCCTATCGTACTCTCTGCCCTCCTCTCCTGCACATACCGTAACTCCCCCTATCGTACTCTCTGCCCTCCTCTCCTGCACATACCGTAACTCCCCCTATCGTACTCTCTGCCCTCCTCTCCTGCACATACCGTAACTCCCCCTATCGTACTCTCTGCCCTCCTCTCCTGCACATACCGTAACTCCCCCTATCGTACTCTCTGCCCTCCTCTCCTGCACATACCGTAACTCCCCCTATCGTACTCTCTGCCCTCCTCTCCTGCACATACCGTAACTCCCCCTATCGTACTCTCTGCCCTCCTCTCCTGCACATACCGTAACTCCCCCTATCGTACTCTCTGCCCTCCTCTCCTGCACATACCGTAACTCCCCCTATCGTACTCTCTGCCCTCCTCTCCTGCACATACCGTAACTCCCCCTATCGTACTCTCTGCCCTCCTCTCCTGCACATACCGTAACTCCCCCTATCGTACTCTCTGCCCTCCTCTCCTGCACATACCGTAACTCCCCCTATCGTACTCTCTGCCCTCCTCTCCTGCACATACCGTAACTCCCCCTATCGTACTCTCTGCCCTCCTCTCCTGCACATACCGTAACTCCCCCTATCGTACTCTCTGCCCTCCTCTCCTGCACATACCGTAACTCCCCCTATCGTACTCTCTGCCCTCCTCTCCTGCACATACCGTAACTCCCCCTATCGTACTCTCTGCCCTCCTCTCCTGCACATACCGTAACTCCCCCTATCGTACTCTCTGCCCTCCTCTCCTGCACATACCGTAACTCCCCCTATCGTACTCTCTGCCCTCCTCTCCTGCACATACCGTAACTCCCCCTATCGTACTCTCTGCCCTCCTCTCCTGCACATACCGTAACTCCCCCTATCGTACTCTCTGCCCTCCTCTCCTGCACATACCGTAACTCCCCCTATCGTACTCTCTGCCCTCCTCTCCTGCACATACCGTAACTCCCCCTATCGTACTCTCTGCCCTCCTCTCCTGCACATACCGTAACTCCCCCTATCGTACTCTCTGCCCTCCTCTCCTGCACATACCGTAACTCCCCCTATCGTACTCTCTGCCCTCCTCTCCTGCACATACCGTAACTCCCCCTATCGTACTCTCTGCCCTCCTCTCCTGCACAT